CACACAGAGAGGGCAGTCAGCAGCATGAGGTGGTTCTGCCTGCCGAGGTCTCACCCCAGACATGGAAATGAAGGGCCCTGGGAGGAGCTGAAGGTGCTCAGCTGGGTTTCTCAGGAGTCCCATCTGTCAGTGAATTGACAAGAAACAGAGCAAAACGACTCCTCCAATGTTGATGAGCCTGCCCCTGGGATTTGGAAACTTGCTAACAGAGAAAACCAATATAGGCAAAGGCTTTTAATCAGGATTATGGTCAATTAAGCAAATTAGAAAAGGATACTTGAAGGAGTATTTGGGACGCAGGAATCAAAAACACCAGGAAGATATGAGGAGTTTCCCTAAGACTCTAGACTACAGCACTACATAGGTAACTAACACCAGACTATTAAGTATATTATTGAAGAAATAAAATTTACATTGAGTTACAAACTGTTTACAAAAGGTCATGAAAATCTTGGAGACTTGTTTCAATTCTGACAAATGTGTCCTTCTCATTCTCAGCTGTTCATTGGTGCATTTATCTTGAATTTGACCATCTGGGGAATGGGCGTGGCCTCTCCTGACAGGAAGGCTCTGGGCCCCAGGCAGGGAGAATGACGTCTCAGAATGATTCCCTTGACAGTTCTGTTCCCCTTTCACCAACACACAGAACCAGAAGACCCCTCCGTCCTGTAGCACCTGCCATGAGCATCGGCCTCCTGTGCTGTGTGGCCTTTTCTCTCCTGTGGGCAGATGGGTCCGGGGCAGGGACCCTTGCGTGGATTTCAAGGCCCAGCGCCTTCCCATTGGGGCTGCAGCAGCAGCTTTGTTCCTCTCTGCAGGTCCAGGGAATGCTGATGTCACTCAGACACCAAAATTCCAGGTCCTGAAGACAGGACAGAGCATGACAGTGCAGTGTGCCCAGGATATGAACCATGACTGCATGTACTGGTATCGACAAGACCCAGGCATGGGGCTGAAGCTGATTCATTACTCAGTTGGTGCTGGTATCACTGACAAAGGAGAAGTCCCCAATGGCTACAATGTCTCCAGATTAAACACAGAAGATTTCCCGCTCAGGCTGGAGTCGGCGGCTCTCTCCCAGACATCTGTGTACTTCTGTGCCAGCAGTGACACCACAGCGCTGCACGGCCGTCTCCTCTCTGCACATAAAGTCAGGTAGGCTCTTCTCTCCTCCCCCACCCATGACTCAGGGATGCCCTGGGCAGAGTTCTCTGCACCACGAACCTTGGTACCCTGACTGGCCCCAAGTGGCCCAGACATTATGAGCCTTGCTCTGTGCCAGGCGCCCCTGCAGGCAGTCTCAGCCAGGACTGGACTGACCCCAGGTCCTCATAAGTCTCCTTTGTTGCTCTGTCTGTTCTTTTCTCAGAGCTCTCCTTTTGGGGTAGGGCCAGGGCTTCCCCAGCTCCTACTTTTCTACCCATCATACTGAGTCTGAGGCCACCAGCGTGGAACACGGATTTGTAGTTCACATCCATCTAGACTCCCGTCTCTCCCTGGTGACCATGTTGCTTCCTTTCACTTGGGTTTCTCCCAGCCCCCACCCTCACATGGTCTCTCCTGTGGCCCACCTTTCCCATCTGGGCCCTGGGTCATCCTCCACGGCCCTGCTGGATTTTTCCTCCCCTCACCTCCCCGTCCCTCTCTACTGCAGCCATGAGGGGAGTCCCTCTTCTGTGCCTCCTTCCTTCCCATCGCAGAGATTTCAAAGGCCATTTTCTCTGCCCTGGGCTGGAGCCTCCCTTCCTCTAGTGGCCAGCTCCTGCCTGTGCTTCAGATCTCAGCATGATCAGCCCTCCTGTGGGAAGCACTCCCTCCCCTCCCAGCTGAGATCAACTTCTCTCATAAGCTCTCATAGAATCAGATGTCTGTTAGTAACCATTGGGCTTTCTCAGATACTTGTCTGATTATTTTTGTGCTCCACCCATTTTTCTTTTTCTTTTTTTTCTTTTTGAGACACAGTCTCACTCTGTCATCAGGCTGGAGTGCAGTGGCATGATCGGCTCACTGCAACCTCCGACTCTGGTTCTAGCGATTGTCGTGCCTCAGCCTCCCGAGTAGCTGGGATTACAGGCATACACCACCACAATCAGCTAATTCGTTTTTGTGTTTTTGTAGAGATCGGATTCACCATGTTGGACAGGATGGTCTCCATCTCCCGCCCCCATGATCTGCCTATCTTGGCCTCCCAAGGTGCTAGGATACAGGCATAAGCCACCACACCTGGCCTCTCCACCCAATTTTTAAGCCCATAAGAGCTAAGTCTGTGCCTGCTGCATTTACCAACATCGATGCCTGGCGTGTGGGGAGATTCATTTCACAGAGAATGGATGAGTGAATGAGAGGCCGAGTGAGTGATGAGCGGGTGGACGAACCAATGCTAGGAACACATTACATCTACTGTAACCTGGCAGAGATCTAGCATTAAGTATAAGAAAGCCCACCCCTTTGATTGCTGGGCCCAGGTTGGTCTTGGAAATTGATGGGGAATCACTATCATGGCGACCACACCTGGCTCAAGGCTTCCTCTTGTGGCTGCAGCACCTGACCTCCTCCAGGTCTCTGTGCTCTCCTTCAGGGTCTTTTCCCACAACAAATCTAGACAGATCAGAGAGCCACTTCTAGAATTCTATGCTTAAAGGTTGTTCCTTGAAATCACTTCTGGTAAGAAAATCTGCATTGGGTTTGCATCAATAAAACAGGGCCACTACAAATTTGGCATTGTAACGGATTTATGATCAGAACTATATGATATGCATATGTGGCAGGAGCTGAGGAAAAGAGGGTCTGGAGGAGAGAAATAAGAAGGTGAGGGAGCCAGTCAGTAACCAGGGATCCTGGATATCTGGGCAGGACAGGCTGGAGTGGCAGGGACATGGGAGGATCAGAGCATGCCAGGCCATGCAAGTGGGACCTTGAGCCAGGAGCACAGGAAAAGGCCACGGAAACCTGCTTCTGGGGAAGCTGTTCTCTCTCTATGGGGGCCACTCCTGCAGGTGCACTGCCAAACACTGGGGGCAGCCTGGCTGCTGTTGTCCACCATTTGGGAAGATGAACTGGACACAGGGTACAGAAGGAACAGGTCTTCCTAGGTCTGTTGGATGCCTCTGTATTTGCTGGTCACTGACTCTCTGTCTGACCACAATGACCTGCCTAGTGTAATAGTGACTGTTTCACATCTATCTAACAAATTTTACCTAATGTATCTTTGACCATCTCTAATCCAGAATGATAAGAGAAATGGCATTCTTACCTTGCCTTTGCGAAGTTGATTTAACGCAATCCAGCACAGGATGGATTCTCCCAGATTAAGGTATCTGATCACACAACTGTCTCAACCTGCCACAGTCCCTGGACTCCTCTCCTGGGGACACCTGTGCTGCCTAGGGGAATGTGGACACAATTTATATGTAGATGTTCCAGACACTGGCTACTAACTTTTCTTTAATCCTGTGCCTAAAGTCTCCCTCCACCTAGAGGCAGGGTTCTGCCTCTTTCTTCTATCTCTTTCCTGAGCTTCCCTCCTAATGGAATTTCATGGACATCAGACTGCTGGTCAGAGTGCAGTGACCTGTGGAGACAGTGGGAGGGAATCTCACCTCTTGCTGCCTTCTTGGACTCAGTTCTTTTATAACCAAAGCAAGTGCTCTGGTCTCCCTTTGGACTCTGCAGTATGAGAAATGTGCTTCATGAATTTGTAACTTTGCCTTTCCAGAAAAAAGCTCTGTCTTCTCTTGGCCCAGTCTAGCGCAGTAGGCTTAATTCATGATTTATGTCACCTTTTAATTTACTCAAAGGAGAATATATGATTTCCGAGTAAAGAATATTCATTTTACTTTGTGTAAGTTGGACCCAAACAGTAAACTCTGTACTTGTGTTACATCAGTGTCTTAAATTGGGCAATGGTAAAACAAATCTTTGATGCCCTAGAAATTTAGGTCCTGCTGTTTTATATATGGAAGTTCCCAGTGTCCTGGGCACACAATAGATGGGTGTTAGTAAGTCACACTATGCCCGAGATGGTTTTCTATGGGTTTATAGACTAGTATTCTCCCGTTGAGCAAGCATAAGAGCGTTTGCTTCTTCAAGCTCATTTGTCACTTTGTATGGGAATTTCCAGTTTGAAATAAGTTATGCTTTTAAATTTGAAAGAGTGTGAAGTCAGACCGGGTGTGGTGGCTCTTGCCTGCAATCGTAGCACCTTGGGAGGCCGAGGCGGGCTGATCACAAGGTCAGGAGTTTGAGACCAGCCTGGCCAATAGGGTGAAACCCTGTCTCTACTAAAAATACATAAACATTAGCCAGGTGTGGTGGCGGGCACTTGTAGTCACAGCTACTTGGGAGGCTAAGCCAGGAGAATCGCTTGAACCTGGGAGGTGGAGGTTGCCGTGAGCCAAGATCCCAATGTTTTTCATATGGAAGTTCCCTGTTAACCAGTCCAGGGCATGGAACAGATGAGTGTTAGTAAGTCACTCTATGCCTGAGATGATTTTCTATGGGTATCTTTTCTAAGTCACAGTTAACAAAGGTGGGAAATGATCCCAGAAGAAAGGCTTGAGGGCAGTTCTTGAGGGAACCCATGCGATGGAACAGTCCCATTGGACTCATGTGACTGGGGGAATGGAGGAGGCTGGGACACGAATGGGGATGGCAGAGGGGACCCTGACTTGCAGGAAAGACAATGAGCTTACCCCTTCGTGCCCTATGTTAGGGGCAGTGTTGGTGCATCCTACAGGACATGCCCAGCAGATAGAGGAGCAGCTGTAGGATGGGAAAATGAACTCAGAGATGCAGTGTGAGGCATCAGGGTCCAGACAGCTCTGGAACCCAAGGCGATGAGCCGTGCATTGATGTTAAAACAGAGCTTATAAATATGTAAAGCGTCACCCAAGTGTGTTCTAATATAAATGCTGTGACCCTGACGTCCTGGGGATTGAGAGAGGAAGTGATGTCACTGTGGGAACTGTCCTGTGGGGACAAGTACGTCCGTCATCCTCTGCTCCTGCTCACAGTGACACTGATCTGGTAACGCCCCCGTCCTGGCCTGACCCTGCCATGGGCACCAGGCTCCTCTGCTGGGTGGTCCTGGGTTTCCTAGGGACAGGTGAGTCCTCAGAACACCAAGTAGTTTCATTTATTTGCTGTGTGTAGGCGTGTGTGTGTGTGAGTGTGTGTGTGTGTGATGACTACAAATGTTTTCCTTATTCTGTTGCCAGATTCTATTTCCACAAATCATACAGATGCTGGAGTCTCCCAGTCCCCAAGGTACAAAGTCACAGAGAGGGGACAGGATGTAGGGGCCAGGATGTAGCTCTCAGGTGTGATCCAATTTCGGGTCATGCAACCCTTTATTGGTATCAAAGGCCCTGGGGCATGCCCCAGAGATTCTGACTTTCTTCAATTACGAAGCCCAACCAGACAAATCAGGGCTGCCCAGTGATCGGTTCTCTGCAGCGAGGCCTGAAGGATCCGTCTCCACTCTGACGATCCAGCGAACAGAGCAGCAGGACTCGGCCATGTATCTCTGTGCCAGCAGCTTAGCCACAGCGTGGCACAGTCACCTCCTTCCTGTTCACAAACCTCATCCTTCTCTCTTCTTGCAGCTACTAGAGACCCTTAACAGAGGCCTCTCTTTGATCTTCACTTTTCATGGGAAAGAAGTAGATTTGGACATCGGCTGTCCTTTGGGTAGAAACAGAGCACAGATTCATTCCTGAAACACAGTGACTGCAAATGTAGGTGGTGAAAACAATCACCGCCCACTGCACTCTAGGAGTCCTGAGAGCCAGCTCACTTCTCCAAGCAAGGAGTGGGTGTCTTAGCCTTGGCCTTCAGGGCAGACATGTACCTTCTATAGGTCTTGGAGGCTGCGGTGTTGCCCACATCCGTGAGGTTGTCATAGGCAGGAAACATGCCTCTTCTGCATATGTTGGGACATCTGGCATCTGGAAGGTCTGAGGCTACATACCCAGGAACATCTTTCTTCTGAAGCCTCTTCTATCCCTGTCACCTTGGAAGTTTTCTGCAACAAAATATCAAACCTCTCTTCCTGTTTGAAGTAAAGGTCTTTGCAACTTTTGTGGTCCTTACTTGATAAATGCAATCACGATAACAAGAGGACATCATTTCTTCTGTCTACCCTAAGCCACATGTGTCCTTTATTTTGTTTCCATTTGCCATTGCTGCTGTCCTGATAGACAGAAGCATGCATTCACCACTGCTGTGAGTTCACCTTGATTCGCACAGGAAATCTGATTTTTAGACTCTGAGTGTTTTCATTGTTGTCCAACTCATTTGATTTGAAATAATTTTCCTAAGGTCTTTAACTCAAGAAGTGTTTTATTTACAATATTGAATCTATTCCTTTTTATTTTATTTTTCACATTATATATTGTTATTTAGTACTTGCTATAAATAGGAGTACAATGATTATATTGCAATAGAATCTTCCACCTGTCTGTGGGTGATGCTGCAGTTTGTATCTATGAAATCAAACGCACTGTTCAGAGCTGATGTGATTATGGATCATGGGTTTCTGAGAGTCCTCGGCATCAGAACACTTCTCTAAGTCTGGGACTCAGTGTCCCAGACACAGCCATGATAGAGGTGCCTGAGTCTTTCATAGCTTTGAGGGGCATCATAGTCCTTCCAAATTCACTGATCAGAAATTGTAGTGGTAAAGACACCAAATTTCTTTCCCCAGAGAATGATGGTCACGGGTGGGCTGTTGCTCTGGACCCGTTTTTTTTCTTGTGTGGTCATGAAATCGCTCCTTGCTCAGATGCCTTGTGTCTCTTGGGACTGATTAAGGACAGGGCACAGATGGGAATTCCCTGTCTTCCTCGACCTTCTCTCTAACTGCTGCCACTTTCCTCGACATGACTCCTGAGACAGCTGGTCTAACAGTGGACAAGCTCTGACACTGAGGCTGAACAGAACACAGTACACATTTGTAAACGGTGGTGCAAGAACATGTAATAAAAGCGAGCAGGGCTTCCAATTTATACTGAGAATGAACATGCAAGAGGAGCAAGCGGCAGACGTTACTAATGAACAAATAGAAAGGAATAGGGTTTCTGCTTTATTGAAATCATTCTGTTTTCTTAAGTTAAGCAGAAAAACATTTCATTGCAATTACTTCAAGTAAAAGGCTAGCAGCTCCCAACCAACCATCATAACTCTTTGCTCTGTGATCTCGGCAGCTTGAGAGGACTCAGAAATCCTTTCTCTGCACAAACGTCCCTTTGTCCATTCCAAGACCCAGGATCACACACTCTGATCCTATCATGAAAATAAGGAAGTGTGCTATAGTTGCTGTGGCCTCATTTTTAGTGTGTTGAGTAGGAAGCATTGAAGAACTTTGAAAGCTTTGCTCTTGAGTCTAGGGATGTGCTAGAGTCAGCTTCTGTGACTCAGAAGAACCAAATAGGCATAATTGTTGCAGCTCCCTATTGAGTGAAGCCATGATGGGAGCTTGAAGTCTGCCATGGTGGGGATGCTGGCAAAACAGAAATTAGGAAATGTTACCAGCCATGCCCCCACCTTCACAGACACCCAGTTTAGCAGCACATCACTGGAGTATTTTCTGATGTCCCTGTAATGCCATGTCTTTTGGGGCCAAAAGGACTCAGAATTTTCCTCCTATCTACTCTTGCTCTGAGAATCCATCATCTTCTGGGGCCTCAATTGTGCCTATTTTTATTCAACCTCCAAATTCTCTTGCTCCGTAATTCTTTGTCTCCTTCAAGCATGGCAGTCTGGAGCATGACAACTATTTTGAGTGTAACTAAAGGTATCACTGAACCTGTTCATTATTTACAAATTATCTTTCCTCTCATGGAATATTTAGATGCTGGAGTCATTGGGAACAGAGATGGGCAAGCAGCAACTCTAGGTTGTGAACCACGTATAGCCCCGCTATTCTTCTGTGTCACCAACAGACCCTATAACAAGGACTATTTTGCTTTGGAAATTAAGCAGTTCCACATGTCAGGAATGACTCTGGTTTTACTTTAGGCTGAGAGGTCAGAAGGATCACACCCTAAGTATTCTCCACTCCAAGACTGAGTATGGCCACTCTCCATCTCAGTCCCTGGAAGTTTTCCAGAGTTCCCTGAGAATCTCTGCTCTGGGGGTGGAATCACCAAGGCTCATCCTCGCCAGCTCCTGACAGGCTCCAGTAGAGCTTTCCTGCCAGGTGCAGGGCACAGGGATGGCTCTGCCTGTCTCTTAGTTAGAGGGAGGCCATACAATAATGTTTGTATAAGAGGGACTGGAATTCTAGGTCTCCACTGAAGCATTTGACAATATTTTCTTTTTTGTTTGTTTGTTTGTTTTATTTTGCCATCTCACCAATGAGGAGAGCAATTCCTTGGTAGTTATATTGTTTTTGGCACTTGGGAAGGTTTTTTTGGTTAAGTCACATTAAGAAATTGTGCCTATTTTTCCTGTTCAGCTATAACCCAAGGCAGTGAAAGGAACAGCAATAATTTTGAGAGCAGTCACGTGCATTCTATGATAAAGGTGTTACTTTTCATTGCCCACAGCTAACTTTCAGTCTAGTGGAAATGAAAAGGCACAGTTAGAAGGCATGTCAGCATGCCATGAGAGGTCAATGCCAATTGCAAGGTCTGTGCCAATCCCCAGTACTGTGGGATTGAAGGGGAGGGAGAGATGACCTCTCCTTCAGACCGTGCTGAACAAGGAGGGAGAGGGAGTTCGCCCATGGGAAGCTGAGGAGGAACAAGTCCCAGGGGCATTTAACTCAGGGTGCAGGAACAAATCCTTGGAGAGGAAAATGGTCCAGTTCAGCTGTCACAGGAAACAGGAGAAAGCAAAGTCATCTAATCCACAGTCCCCAGGCTGATTTGCTTCCTTATGATGCTATTCAGCACCAGCGAGTCCTCATCTCCCGCTGCTCCTCTGCCTCTTCCAGAATCGTCTCTTCCGTGTTTGGTGCTCAGGTCAATGGATGTGCATTTTACATGGTGATAATTTCCTGTAGCAGCCACTTTGCTGGTCTTAGCTATATCCATCCTTATTTTCTGCATTAGGTACTGCTCCCGCCACCATTGCTTGTTGCCTTGTAAGAAGTCTCATTTTACATATTTCAATTTTACTTTTCATTAATAGACATTTGACTTCATCTTTTGCTGATCTATACTTTTGGGGTAACATTGTCACTTTTGGAGGACGTTTTTATCTTTAGTGATTCAGATTAAATAATCTCTTTGTGCTTCAGCGTCCGTGCTTTCTCACTATATAAAACCAAATACTACTTCCTTTCATTCCTCTCATTCTGTTCCTCTTTCTTTAGATGGTAGTTTTATGGGAGAAAAAGTTAGACTATAACTGGAGCTATGTGATAAGAGTTATTCAGAATGAGGGTGGGATATTAATATTGGTAACTCAATGCAATAATCAGGGTTAGAACTAGTGTTGGGATGAGGGTTTAGGGAAACTGCTCATAAAACCTGCGGCATGGCACTTCTGGAATATTCTGGCAGCTCACTCTGCAGACACTTCCCAGCATTCCTTGGGCCATTGCAGAAGAAACAATGATGAAACTTCACTTATTGGCCACAAGATGGCATGGTGGTCCGCTGAGATCGAAAGGGCTCTGGGGAATCTGGGAGAGCAGTCTAGGAGGGAAAGGGTTTGGAAAAATTAGGGCTTGGATCCAATATTATGCAGATGTTACAGCAGTTCTCAGTTATTGCTAGGCTAACTACAGCTGTGCAAGAGGCGGGAAGTCCCTCTAATCTTTAATGACAAATACAGTTGAAGAATTTTTGCCAGGCAGCCTTGGTATCAGGGGCAGGTGCAGGGGAGCAAATGTCTCAGAGGAACATTGGAAAGCTAGGGGCAGGTTGTGCCCTGAGCCCAGTATATCTCTGCTGCACCTCATCTTCCCTGCCGGTCTCACCAGGCAACAACTTTAACGTGCTTGAGTGATCTGGGATTCTGCAAGTTTATAAGTCGTAATATTACCTTGGCTGAGAATCCGTTGGACACCAAGTATGTGTTCTCCGGAGAGCAAAAAATATTCAGAACAAGTTCTAAAACACCTAAGTAAACACACTACTGAAGGAAAATGTTAGTAGATGAATCAAACTGTGCCGTTGGACCTGACTAGTAGAATTATCGAAAATAGACTACAAATAAGTCTCTACTAAAGTATTTGTGGGCATAGAGCAGTGTTTGCATCTTCTCTGGGTAGATTAAGGAAGGAATTCAGCTATTATCCTCATGATGTTGCCTTGGATGAAAAGGCATGAATTTCTCAATTGATTTTCTTGTAAAATATTACAGAATAATATTGAGAAAACATTTTATTTTTCTCCAGCCTGTATCTCTCTTTAGCACTTACAAGTAAAGCGGACACTTAGAGGTAAGGTTTCTTTAGTTGGGATCCATTAACTGCAGGACTGGGAGGTCCATAGCTGGGCTTCACAGGGAGTGCAAACCCCCCGTGGACAGAACCCGTGTGTCTGTGCTGTGCCCAACTCCCCTCTGTGAGGCTGCCAAAGGGGGAGGCCCGGGTCACCCAGGATCCCACTTGCAAAGAGGGGAGCAGGCTACTTGCTGGGCAAAAAGTCAGTTCATCAACTGGCCAATCTGTTGAAAGGCAAAAAGAAAGGAAAGGCTCAATTGTGAGACTGATGAATGCCCACTTTCCCAAGTTATGAAATGTATAGCAGCTCAGGGTTCTCAGAGTGATTTCAACAGCATATGAAGATATTTTTAGAAAGTCTTTGTTTGTCTACAGCTTTCCTTGATATTGATCCTCACTCATTTTTCAGCCCACTCGTCACTTGAGCTTATTTTGTTGCCAAATTTCAATGTTGCCTGTTTCAGTCACTGAGTACTTCTCACATTCTCCATATCTTACACAGATAGGTGTGTTCCTGTCTTTTCTTATTTTTGTGTGATTCATTTTTAAATTGGTCTGTGCAGAATACAAGCATACATTTGTATATGACTCCCATCTTTTATGCAATTTAGCTGTTTAATTTTTTAGTAATGCTTTTTATTAAGGTATAATTAATAGAGAGTAAAACAAATATTAATACAAGGACATCCTCATACATTTTGACAAATGCATATGCCAGTGCAACAGTAACTGAAATGATTATTAAAAAAAAAATTTCCATCATTCAAGAAAGTGTCCTCATGCTCTTTTCCAATCAATTTCTATCTTAGGGATAAAAACTTTTCTATTTTTATCACTATTGAGTAGCTTTGTCTATTCTTGAGCTTCATATAATGGAATCATATTTTTATTGAGTTGTTTTCTCCAAAATTACCATTTCTGAAGTGTATTCATATTGTTGTTTCAGTAGGTCATTCTTTCTTAAGACTAATATTCCATGGCATAAATACACCAGAGCTTGTTGATCCACGCTCCTGTTGATGGAGATCCACGTTACTCCTGTCTTCAACTATTAGGAATGAAGTTGTTGTGAACATATTGTGGGATTCTTTCCTGTGGGCATATGCATTCTTTTTTTCCTTTTTTTATATATATAGACTTAAGAGTGGAAAAAATGACTCTTATTGTAGATGTGTGTGCTATGCTCGTGTGTCTCCACGAAAGCTCATGTTGAAACTCGTCAGTGTAATGGTATTGGGATTATGACAGCTATGACTAGGTCAGGAGGGATCTGCCCTCAGAAAGAGATCAATGCCCTTATTGTGGGAGTGAATTAGTTGTCTTGGGAATGGTTTTCTGATAAAAAGGATGAATTCAGCCGTTTTCTCTGACTTCGGTGCTTGCTTCCCCTTCCTTCTGCCTTGGATAACAGCAGGAGGCCCTCATCAGTTATGGCCCTTTGATCTTGGACATCCCAGTCTCCAGATCTATAAGCCAAATAAACCTCTTGTCTTGGTAAATTGCCCAGTCCATGCTGTTTCTCTATAGGAGTAGGAAAGAAATTGAAAGAAAATATGGTACCGAGAGTGATGCCGTTGATATAATTTCTGAAAATGTAGAAGTAGCTTTGGTTAATGGGAAGTGGCTAATGGATAGAGGTTGAAAGAACTGGGAGGAGCAGACTAGCAAAAGCCAAGATTCCTGAAAACAGAGCATAAAGGGTACTTCTGGTGAAGGCTCAGGGGTAAATGAGGAACAAGGTATTGGAAATTGAAGCAAATGCCATCCTTGTTATAAGTAGCAAAAACCTTGGCAAAGCTGTGTCCTGTTCTAGAACTTTATGGAATATAAAAATGATGAGCCATTTGCTAGTATATCTGCTGAAAGAAATATCTAAGCGGCAAAGCATTCAGGCTACTCTGTGACTACTTTTAGCCACCAGGAAATTTAACCCAGCAAGAAGGGAGCCATGGGAATAGATTTTGCAAACCAGCACAGATGGTGACCCTACCTCCCTCTGCTGTCCTGTCTTCCACATGCCAAACTCTATGCTGTGAGCTGTTAAAGTCCTATAATTATTTCTGGGGAATCTGTACTCTTAAATAATTTACAGATAACCCAGGTCTGCTTTGGATATGATCAGACAGAGTAAATCTTGGAGACTCTGCACCACTGGCCACTGACGAAAGGGGCTGGGAATGTTGTCTGGGACAGGAAAATATAATAAGAAACATTGGAGTGAATCTAGCGTCAGAAAGATGTTGTGAGGACAGCCAGGAAGAGCTGGAACCTGAGGTTTAATCACAGGCTCCTCACCCTCTGCTGATGGGCAGGTGTGTGAGCTCCAGCATGGAGCACCACAGTACTAGTTCAGAGGACGGTGATAGGGCAATTGGGCAGCCTGTGAGCTGGGGCAGTGTAGGCAGAGGAGCAACTGTATCATCGCAGAAGCTTCTGCCTTCACCCATCCCTCCAGCTCTGCAGGACAGGTAGAGAGCACAGCGTCTGTGGAGCACTAGACCTAAAGCAGGCTGCATGGGGAGGACACAGGACAGTGACATCACAGGATACGCCTCCCATCAGGAAAATCAAGGCCCAGAACTCGCTCAGCTCTTCCCCAGGAGGACCAAGCTCTGCATCAGGTGCAGTGCTGCCTGCCCCACTGGGCCATGGGCCCCGGGCTCCTCTGCTGGGCGCTGCTTTGTCTCCTGGGAGCAGGTGAGTCCTGTGCACTGGACAGCAGCCCCATTCTCAGCTTTCCCACCCCTGTGTCCTCCACTTTACCTTGGGGAGGACCTCCAGGCTATCTCCTGGCTCATCCTCCATCTCCTTTTCCCACAGGCCCAGTGGACACTGGAGTCACCCAAAGTCCCACACACCTGATCAAAACGAGAGGACAGCAAGTGACACTGAGATGCTCTCCTATCTCTGGGCACAGCAGTGTGTCCTGGTACCAACAGGCCCTGGGTCAGGGGCCCCAGTTTATCTTTCAGTATTATGAGAAGGAAGAGAGAGAGAGAGGCAACTTCCCTGATCGATTCTCAGGTCACCAGTTCCCTAACTATAGCTCTGAGCTGAATGTGAGCGCCTTGTTGCTGGGGGACTCGGCCCTGTATCTCTGTGCCAGCAGCTTGGCACAGCCCGGCAGAGTCACTGACATTCTGTATGTAAACTTCCTGCCTTAGCTTTGACTTGAGAGCTGCAGGCTGCACCCAGCTTTCACTCCTTCAAGGGAAGCTTTTAGTTGTTTGGAAGGCATGTCTTCTGTCCTACTGAGCACAGAGCTCTCCCAACCAACAGCGTCCAGGTTTCCTGTGCCCTCAGTGTGCCCGCTTCTCTGCTGCATCCTCTTGCAGCTTGTCACTTCCTGGGTAACTTCAGAACAAGAGTGACTGCGGAGTCCCAGATGTGTGCTTGATTCTTTGTATTTGTTATATAGCTTAATGCCTTTCAACAGTCTTGCACATCAAACATTCTTATTCTTCCTTTACAGATGGGAGGCTCAGGGACATTGAGTCATTTTCCCCAGTGTCTCCTGGCTTGTAAGGATCAGAAGTAGGAAACAAACTAGTCCATAGATTTTCCACCTACCCCTCTGCTCCGTCATCACCTTCTGCATCCTGGTCAGTAAGTCAGAGCCCTCACACTGTCCTCTAGTGACCAGCAGGGCGGCAGTAGAGTCTCAGATGTCTTCAGGGGTCACTACTAAGGCCTCTTCAGTAGCAACTTTGAGGAATGTTAAATTTCACACTTTTTAACAATCATTTATATGCATTCCCTTTGTCTTTCCCCAGTCTGCAGCTTATATTTTCATTTTTATGGAGTTTTTTGATGCACAAGAGTTTAACGCAACAAAAACTAGAAACAATTTTGTTTTTGTATAGACAAAAACCGCTTTCTCATATAAACATCTAAGGATATTTTTCTCAATTTATTCTACTAAAATTTAAGTTTGGATTTTCACCACTAAGAATAAATATACCTAAAATATATCTCATGTGAGAAACAAGGTAGAGACCTAGAAATGGGAGGGAAGCACATATGTTCTGTGAAGAAACAATAGCCTGTCCTTAAATTGGACACCCTGAGCTGACGGTGGAGAGGCAGGTGGAGGGCAAATGAGCATGAACCTTGTCAGTCTATTGTCTTGTAGAAGAAAGACAGCCAGGAGCAGGGACCACATGGGTGAAGGTTTATGGCTGTACTGTAGGTTGAAGGTTGCAGCAGGTAGAGGGAGGAATAGCAGGCAGAGGGCAGAGTCACTGGCTGGCCGGGGCAGCGGCATCATCAATTGACTCTCCTGACATCCACGAATTATGTCCACAGTGCACAAGCTGAAAACCCTCTCCACAATTTCCTCATTTTTCCCCTGACCCTGCCATGGCCACCAGACTCCTCAGTGGTGTGGCCTTTTGCCTCTTGGGGGCAGGTGAGTCCTTTAAAGACTTTTCCTTGGCCCACCACACCCTAGCCTAAGCCTTTACTTCAGGTCTACATTATTGGGGTCCCTCCTTGGACATTCAACTTCCTTCTATCATAAACTTCACAGAAGCTGGGACAACCAGTTCCCAAGGTACCAGAGAACAAATACAGGACATGAAGTGGTATGGAGATGCCTGAGACTGCCATCCATGACTACATGTGTGGGAGTTAATAGGAGCCGGAGCTGGTGCACAGCTGATCCGTCCCAGCCCACACTACAGAGAAATCCCTGAGGGTCTGTAACTTTCTCTCAAAGCCAAATATGTGGCCTTGGTGTCAGAAGCCTCTCCCAGACCTTTGTGCCCTCTCGCACCAGCCTTCACCCCACAGCCACCTTCCTCTGCACACAAAGCTCAGTGGAAGATATAGGTGGCCTTGTCTTCATGAGACCATGATCTCAGCTGGACTACGGAACGCACATCACTGTGATGTGAGAGGAGGCAGTCTCTCTTCCAGGCCCCTCCTACAGCTCTGGCCTCAGAAGTCCTCTTCCTCAGTTGCTCTCAGAAAGGAAAGTTCCTTTGAAATTGTATATTTGCAGACAGCATTGACAATACAGGTCTATGTTCTTTCCCTGTCGGCCTTCACAACTCCGTCTTCCCCACACCATGCTCATGTCAGTCCTCGGCCTCCTCCACGTGATGTCTGCTCCCAGCTGTCCTCTCCCTTCCTCTGCACCCTCACCTCCATGTCAACCACAGCTGCCTCAGTTCAGGCCATTCCTCATGCGTCATGTTCCTCCCACCAAAGGCCTTTCCACTCCATGCTGTATTCTCTGTGTCAATACAAGTCTCTTCTTTTTTGTTCTTTCTCCAAATCTCAGTTTATCTACCACCGTCTCAAGGGAAACACTCTTTCAACAGTTTTCCTAGGCTGCACCTCCTTATTGTAAATGCTCACAGCTTATAATATGCATTAATATTCTTAGATTTAGCACCATAGTCATTTTCCCTGACTTTGTGTGGCAATTTAATTGACACTTCTCTTGCATTCTAGGCTGTAAAATGCATCATTTTACAAATTGTGGATGTTTTGCTCCCCATTTTATTATCAGTACCAACAACGGTTCCAGGTGCCACTCACCAATCTTGAAAGAATAAAGAATAGATATTGAAAGGCCCTCTGAGTTCCCACATAGATGTCTGGAAACATTAAATGGGAACCTCTATCCCTTCATCTCCTAGGATCAAATGAGTCCTGGAAACATGAGAAATCCCTGTCATGGATGAGTCACTGGATCCCAAGCCTTTCTACATGACTGAATTTCCTATCTGCCCATCGCCCTCCTCCCTAGTCTCCTTCTTCAATCTCCTTCCCTCACAGGTGTCCTGGAATTGGGAGTCTCACAGACACAGGGCACCTAATCACTCTGAGAGAGTGATTAGAAACATAATGTCAAACACTGGCATTAAAAGGTGATGGAGAAGAAAACAAATGGCTTCCCCATTCTCTTAGGGAGAGTTTTCTTAAGGCACAAATATCTCTTTGGGTGACTTTGAGGCCACAGTGCCTGATACACTGAGCCATATTATGGGTGTCCATTTCCATGAATTGGTGGGCAATGCCAGAGACACAGAGCTCATGGTCACCAGCTTCCTCCAGCCCACACCTGGTTTGGTGCAGGGCGCTGAGCAGAGACCTTTGCTTGTTCCCCTCCTTTGCCAGTCAGAAAAGGCTGGTCGTGAGACAGAGGCTCCATTTACAGAGCGGGGCTATGTGTTAGTCCCTGAAGAATTGTGAGAGCCATTCTGGGTGGAAATAATCCAATATACAATCACTAAGGATGGCCCACAGATAGACCGAAGCCCCAGTTTTGCCAGAATGATTTACATTAATGCTTTAAAGACGAATGCAGTTTTAACTCTTTAGGCAATAAAGACCAAAAATAGACTAGCTATTTTTAATAATTGAATCTTAAACAGACCAAAGTCAGAAAATCTTCCCTAAGGAAAGCATTTTCTTCCACCCACTCACTAAAGCTGTATTTGAGAAAGCTGTGTGCTGTTGATAAATGCTGGAATATCACTACAATCGACATCGTAATAATACTGCTACTTGGATCAGAAACAAAGAGCATTTCTAAAGCTTGAACAATGTGTAACTGGAAACAAGCTCTCACTGAGTTTGGAAATGCAGGCACTAGAGGGTGCTCATTTCTCTTTCTTTTCCAATCAGGGGGCTATTCGAACCTATTCTAGAACAAGGAGTGAGATCCCCCATTTCCCCGTGGTGATCAGGCTTTCAGAGGTAGAAACCTTATTAGTTCATAATCAACACAAACTGACTTCACCATCAAATGTATCGACCTCGATGCTCACCCTCCTCAGCAATCAGAGACTGGCTGTGTTCACCAGGAGCTCGTGTGTTTTTACGGAGCACACTTTATCCTCAGTTTATTACAAAAAATAAATGGGCCTTTATAGGGAGTTCCATAGACAGAAGCTTTCTGTACTTTGTCCATTTAGACACTACAAATTCTGACACCTGATGAAAAGTGTAAACTTAAAGCTTGCATGTGGTTAAGATTTTTTAATAACCAAATTAAATAATATGTATGTAACGAAAATGTCAATAATGCTTTCGAACCCAATCCCACCTTCTATTGGTAATGAATATTAACACTCTGGTGTGCTTCCTTTCACCCCTCTTTTCTGTGTTCATGCATAACTTTCTACTCAAGTACACCTACAGAAAATGGGTTCACCTGTACAATTTACCTGCCACATGCACATTGTTTTCTGTTAATATTCCTTGGTCTTTATTGTTCCAGATTGGTTGATATAGATCTAACTTGCTCTATTAGCTGCTTCACTTTGCATAATGAGGGTAGACAGGTACACTCGCGCTCCGTTGCCTGATTCCTAAATTCTGCCACATCTTTTCTAAAGTGACCGAATGGTATCTTTACGCTTCCAGGTTCTCCTCACCCCAGCACTCAGCTGATGATACCAGCTTTTCCATCACTCATAGTCCTAGCAGGGCCAGTGTGAGAGCTCCATTGGTTTCTCCTGCATGAGGAGACAGGAAGGGATAAAAGGATAGACTTTTATCAAACCTACAAGATGCTACACAGTATCTCAGTTCATGTGTGTAAAGCATTGAGAGGAATGTTAGTCTTGTTTTATAGATGATTCTAGATGAGGCTAGAGTCCAGGAAAGTTAACAAATAGCCTTGCCCATGGTCTCAGAGCTAATAAATGGTGGAGCCAGATGGAGGGCAGTTGTCTTGCTTCCATGTGGAATTGATAGATGTGTCACTGGAGTTTGAGGGAGGGGAAGTCTAGAACCATCTGGGGTTGTCTTTAGATCAGACACCAGGGTTAAGAGACTGTGTACCCTACAGCACTGCAGGTACATGCATCATGGTGTTGGCAGTGGGGAGGTACTAGAATGGGTAAGCGATTAGTGGCCTGGAACCAGAAGATCTGAGCTTTGATAAAACTATTCCCATCACAAGATGTAGCAGAGACTCTGATGTAGATAAACTAGGCCAGGGAGCTCTGTGAGGAGCTGTTGTTAAAATGAGGGAGGGAGGAGAACCAACTAAGTGGTCACTTCCTATATGTGAAATGTAGAGGAAAACAATATTAACTAGAATCCCATCTGATTTTAGCCAGTTTTGCTTTGTAAGTAGTTGGAAGGTGGGATAATTTATTTTCAAGGTTAAGTAAACATCAGTACATCACCTTTACCTTATGAAGACTGTTGGCGAAGCAAAAAATGGCATAGCCTATAGAGTCAGAGTTTGTTTAATAAATATCTCAGAGTTCAAAGAGAGACTCTTATGGGGCAGAAATTGGTAAATGTTCCTGCATTCTAAAATTAGGAGGATCTTACTTTATTTGAATCAGCAGAGAAGGAAGCACAGGCAGTGGGGAGGGTCAGTTGGGAACACTGCAGAGTGGCCGCAGGATGTCCAAGACAAAAGACATGTAATATCACATTCTAAGCTGTGAAACTGTGATGCAACCCTGCTCCTTCTCCTAATGGATTTTTTAGGTCTCAGCACAGATGCACACCTGAGGGAGTAATTTCTTTGGAAATTAAGGACAAATTGCTGTGTTAGTAACAAGTTCACCTTACAAAACACACCTAGAAATGGAAATAAGATTATTTCTAAGGCCTTTTCTACTCTAAGAGTCTCTGACTTGGTGGTAAGCTAAGAGGTGAGGATAGGGGGTTGTTGATCCACATGTGATGAGTACCATGAGGTCCTACCATGAAGCATATAGTTCTGAGAGTGAATCAGAGCCCTAGGAAGAATAATGCCCTTGATGTTGTTTTGCCCTGTGCCATCCCACCACCCCACCCATAACTGAGCAACCATGGAAATGAGGGGAGCCAGAAGGAATCAATTCCTGCAGCTTGGTTCAGTAGACAGAGGGACCTGGGGGAAGGGTGTTGGCTGGGTCTAGGAGAAGATGATGAGCCCAGAAAATAGACAAGGAGAACCCCCAGGGAAAACTTGTGAAACCCTGAAGGAATCACGAGATAGGTTATTAGAGACTTTTTTATTACTAAACTTTATTTATTGCTAAATTAATGGCAGTAACCCTGCACAAAGGGATATTCCCTATGGAAGATGGCATCTCACATAAAAACAGAGCATTCTTCCTTACCTTAAAGTCGGACCTCTCTCCCCAAGTCCCTCATGCATCGGGCCACCTTTGTACCCACAGATCATGGGCAGCACTGGGTGGTCACCATCATCCACACAGAGAGGGCAGTCAGCAGCGTGAGGTGGGTCTGTCTGCTGTGGTCTCACCCCAGACATGGAAAGCAAGAGCCCTGGGTAGAGCTGAAGGTGCTCACCTGGGTTTGTCAGGAGTCCCATCTGTCAGTGAATTGAGAAGAAACAGAGCAAAACTTGTCCAATGTTGATGAGCCTGCCCCTAGGATTTGGAAACTTGATAACAGAGAAAACTGATATAGACAAAGGATTTTAAACAGGATTATGGTCAATTAAGCAAATTAGAAAAGGATACTTGAAGGAGTATTTGGGACACAGGAATCAAAAACACCAGGAAGACATGAGGAGTTTCCCTAAGACTCTAGACTACAGCACTACATAGGTAACTAACACCAGGCTATGTATTATATTATTGAAGAAATAAAATTGACATTGAATTACAAACTGTTCACAAAAAGTCATGAAAATCTTGTAGACTTGATTCAATTCAGACAAATGTGTCCTTCTCATTCTCAGCTGTTCACTGGTGCATTTGTCTTGAATTTGACCATCTGGGGAATGGGCGTGGTCTCTCCTGACAAGAAGGCTCTGGGGCCCAGGCAGGGAGAATGACATCTCAGAATGATTCCCTTGAGAGTCCTGTTGCCCTTTCATCAATGCACAGAACCAGAAGACCCCTCCGTCCTGTAGCACCTGCCATGAGCATTGAGCTCCTGTGTTGTGCGGCCTTTTCTCTCCTGTGGACAGGTGGGTCCTGGGCAGGGACCCTTGTGTGGATTTCATGGCCCAGCCCCTTTCCATTGGGGCTGCAGCATCAGCTTTGTTCTTCTCTGCAGGTCCAGTGAATGCTGGTGTCACTCAGACACCAAAATTCCAGGTCCTGAAGACAGGACAGAGCCTGACAGTGCAGTGTGCCCAGGATATGAAACATGACTACATGTTCTGGTATCGACAAGACCCAGGCATGGGGCTGAGACTGATTTATTACTCAGTTACTGCTGGTATCACTACCAAAGGAGAAGTCCCCAATGGCTACAATGTCTCCAGAATAAACACAGAGGATTTCCTGCTCAGGCTGGAGTCGGCTGATCCCTCCCAGACATCTGTGTACTTCTGTGGCAGCAGTTACTCCACAGCATTACAAGGCTGTCTCCTCTCCGCACATGAAAGCAGGGAGGCTCTGTCCTCCTCCCCCACCCAAGACTCAGGGATGCCCTGGGCAGAGTTTTCTGGAACAGGAACCTTGGAACCCCAAGTGGCCCCAACTGGTCCAGACAGTATGAGCCTCGCTCTGTGCCAGGCGCCTCTGCAGGCAGTCTCAGCCAGGCCTGGACTGCTCCAGGTCCTCAGATGTCTCCTTTGTTGCTCTCTCTGGTCTATCCTCTGAGCTCTGCTTTAGGGGTTGGGCTAGGGCTCCCCCAGCTCCTACTTTCAACTCATCATCCTGAGTCTGAGGCCCCCAAACAGGATTTGTATTTCACATCCATCTAGACTCCTGTCTCTCCCTGGTGACCGTGTTGCTTCCTCTCTCTAGGTTTCCCCCACTCCCCACCATCCTGTGGCCCACCTTTCCCATCTCAGCAGTCATTCTCCACCCCCTACCTCCCTGCCCCTCTCTACTGCAGCCATGGGGGAAACCCCTCTTCTGTGACTCCTTCCTTCCCATCACAAAGACTTCAAAGGCCATTTCCTCTGCCCTGGGCTGGAGCCTTCCTTTATCTAGTGGCCAGCTCCTACCTGTGCTTCAGATCTCAGCATGATCAGCCCTCCTGTGGGAAGCAATCCCATGCCTCCCAGCTCGGATCAACTTTCCTCTCATAAGCTCTCAAAGAATCAAGTCTGTCAGTAACCTTTAGCACACTTGGGCTTTCTCAGATACTTGTCTGATTATTTTTGTGCTCCCCCCAATTTTTTTATTTTTAGACAAAGTCTCACTCTGTCGTCAGGCTGGAGTGCAGTGGCATGATCTCTGCTCACTGCAAACTCTGATACTCTGATTCAATTGATTCTCCTGCCTCAGCCTCCCGAGTAGCTGGGATTACAGGCATGTGTCACCACGCCCAGCTAATTCTTGTTTGTATTTTTAGTAGAGATGGTGTTTCACCATGTTGGCCAGGATGGTTTCGATCTCATGACTTCATGATCCCCGGTCTCTCAAAGTGCTTGGATTATAGGCGTGAGCCACCACGACCGGTCTCTGTGCTTAATTTTTTAGCCCATGAGAGCTAAGGCTGTGCCTGCTGCATTTACCAATATCGGTGCCTGACATGTGTGGAGACCCATTTCACAGAGAATGGATGAGTGAATGACAGGCTGAGTGGGTGATGAGTGGATGGATGAACCAATAGTAGGAACATACTACATCTACTGTAACCTGGCATAGATCTAGCATTAAGTAAAGAAAGCCCACCCCTTTGATTGCTGGGCTTAGGTCAGTCTTGGAAATTGATGGGGAATCACTATCCTGGTGTCCACACCTGGCTCAAGGTTTCCTCTTGTGGCTGCAGCACCTGACCTCCTGCAGGTCTCTGTGCTCTCCTTCAGGGTCTTTTCCCACAACAAATCAAGACAGATCAGAGATCTACCTCTAGAATTCCATTCTTAAAGGTTGTTCCTTGAAACCACTTCTGGTAAGAAAATCTCCGTTAGGTTTGCATCAATAAAACAGGGCCACTACAAGTTTGAGAGTGTAAGAGATTTATGATCAGAATTAGACTTTATGCATATGTGGGAGGAGATGAGGAAGACAAGGTCTTGAGGAGAGAAGTCAGAAGGTGAAGGAGCCAGTCAGTAGCCAGGACTTCTGGAGGTCTGGGCAGGACAGGCTGGAATGGCAGGGACATGAGAGGATCAGAGCATGCCAGGCCATGCAGTGGGACTTTGAGCTGGGAGAACAGGAAAAGTCCAAGGAAACCTGCTTCTGGGGAAGCTGTTCCCTCTATGTGGGGGCCACCCCTGCAGGTGCACTGCCAAACACTGGAGGCAGCCTGGCTGCTGTTGGCCAGCATTTGAGAAGATGAACTGGACACAGGGTTCAGAAGAAACAGGACTTCCAAGGTCTGTTGGATGCCTCTGTATCTGCTGGTCACTGACTCTCACTGTCTGACCACAATGACCTGCCAATTGTTATAGTGACGGTTTTATATCCATCTTCTGAATTTTACCAAATTTATCTTTGACCATCTCAAACCCAGAGTGATAAGAGAAATGGCATTGTGGGAAAATCAGACTTTTACCTTTGCAAAGTTGACTTAATACAACCCAGCACAGGAGGGATTCTCCCAGATTAGGCACCAGATCAACAACTGTCTCAACCTGCCATGGTACGTGGACTCCACTCCGGGGGACACCTGTGCCGCCCAGGTGACTGTGGACACAATTTGTATGTAGATGTTCTAGACACTGGCTACTAACTGTTCTTTTAATCCTGTGCCTGGAATCTCACTCCACCCAGAGGCAGTGCTCTGCCTCCTGCTTCTGTCTCCTTCCTGAGCTTCCGTCCTGCTGGAGTTGCGGGGACATCAGACTCCTGCTCAGAGTGCAGCGACCTGTGGAGAGGGAGGGAAGCTCACCTCTTGCTGCCTTCCTGGACCCAGTTCTTTTATAAGCAAAGCAAGTGCTCTGGTCTCTCTTTGAGCTCTGCAGTATGAGAAATGTGCTTCATGAATTTGTAGCTGATCAGCTCAATGATCTGATGGCAAACCCGAAGTGAAATCCTCAGATCTGCAGAAATTGCCCTGCATTTCTGTGAAGATGGCAAGAATACTGTGTGGTAGAGGTGCCTTCTCTGCATGTAGAGACCTGGCGCCCAAACAGGACAGAGCAGAGAGGGCCAAAGAGCCCAAAACATGTCTCAGATGGTTGAAAGACAACTTCCCAGGACAATCCTGCTGACAACAATTGGTCCCTCGTATTACACGCCTGACCACCCTTCCCCCAGATCAGCTGAGTACCCAGGATATCACACACCCCAGCATCTTCCAACAAGCAAAAATACTTCGCATACCAGCCTCCTTCCAGCACCACACTGACTAACCCCAGAAACAGACTTTCCAGAAAAAAGCTCTGTCTTCTCTTGGCCCAGTCTAGCCTGGTAGGTTTAATTCATGATTTGTGTGACCTTTTAACTTACTCAAAGGAGAACATATGATTTCAGAGTAAAGAATGTTAATTTCATTTGTATAAATTGGACCTAAACAGTAAACTGAGTAGTTTTCTTCCATCAGTGTCTTAAATTGGACAATGGTAAAACAAATCTTAGATGCTAGAACTTTTTAGGTCCTGGTGTTTTTCATATGGAAGTTTCCAGTTACCCAGTCCAGGGCATGGAATAGATGAGCATTAGTAAGTCACTCTATGCTTGAGATGATTTTCTATGGGTATTTTTTCTGAGTTACAGTTAACAAAGGTGGGAAGTGATCCCAGAAGAAAGGCATGAGGGCAGTTCATGAGGGAACCCATGTGATGTGACAGTCCCATTGGGCACCAGTGACTGGGGGAATGGAGGAGTCTGGGGCATGAATGGGGATGGCAGAGGGGATCCTGTTTTGCAGGAAAGACAATGAGCTCACCTCTTTGTGCCCTATGTTAGGGGCAGTGTTGGTGCATCCTACAGGACATGCCCAGCAGACAGAGGAGCGGCTGTAGGATGAGAAGATGAACTCAGAGATGCAGTGTGAGGCCTCCGGGTACAGACAGCTCTGGAGCCCAAAACGATGAGCCATACATTGATATTGTTAAAACGGAGGTTATAAATATTTAAAGTGTCACCCAAGTGTGTTCTAGTATAAATGCTGTGACCCTGAGTTCCTGGGGATTGAGAGAGGAAGTGATGTCACTGTGGGAACTGCCCTGTGAGGACAAGGACGTCCGTCATCCTCTGCTCCTGCTCACAGTGACACTGATCTGGTAACGCCCCCGTCCTGGCCTGACCCTGCCATGGGCACCAGGCTCCTCTGCTGGGTGGTCCTGGGTTTCCTAGGGACAGGTGAGTCCTCAGAACACAAAGTAGTTTCATTTTTTTTTCTGTATGTAGGTGTGTGTGTGTGCGTGTGTGTGTGTGTGTGCGTGTGTGCGTGTGTGTGTCTGTGTGAGTGATGACTACAAATGTTTTCCTTATTCTGTTGCCAAATTCTATTTCCACAGATCACACAGGTGCTGGAGTCTCCCAGTCTCCTAGGTACAAAGTAATAAAGAAGGGACAGGATGTAGCTCTGAGGTGTGATCCAATTTCGGGTCATGCAGCCCTCTATTGGTACCAACAGGCTCTGGGGCAGGGCCCAGAGTTTCTGACTTACTTCAATTATCAAGCTCAACCAGACAAATCAGGGCTGCCCAATGATCGGTTCTCTGCAGAGAGGCCTGAGGGATCTGTCTCCACTCTGACGATCCAGCGAACAGAGCAGGGGGACTCGGCCGTGTATCTCTGTGCCAGCAGCTTAGCCACAGCGTGGCACAGTCACCTCCTTCCTGTTCACAAACCTCGTCCTTCACTCTCCTGCAGTTCCCAGAGACCCTTGACAGAGGCCTCTCTTTGCTCCTCACTTTTCATGGGAAAGAGGTGGATTTGGACATCGGCTGTCCTTTGGGTAGAAAGAGACCACAGATTCATTTCTGAAACACAGTGACTGCAAATGTAGGTGGTGAAAACAATCAGGGCCCGCTGCACTCTAGGAGTCCTCGGAACCAGCTCACTTCTTCAAGCAAGGAGTGGGTGTCTTAGCCTCGGCCTTCAGGGCAGACATGCATCTTCTATAGGTCTTGGAGGCTGCTGTGTTGCCCACATCCATGAGGTTGTCAAGGGCAGGAAACATGCCTCTTCTCCATATGTTGGGACATCTGGAAGGTCTGAGGCTACATCCCCAGGAAGATCTTTCTTCTGAAGCCTCTTCTATCCCTGTCACCTTGGAAGTTTCTGCAACAAAATATCAAACCTCTCTTCCTGTTTGAAGTAAAGGTCTGTGCAACTTTTGTGGTCCTTACGTGATAAATATAATCATGATAACAATAAGACTTCATTTCTTCTGCCTACTTTAAGCCACATGTATCCTTTATTTTGTTTCCATTTGCCATTGCTGCTGTTCTGATAGACACAGGCATGCATTCACCACTGCTGCCAGTTCACCTTGATTCCCTCAGGAAATCTGATTTTTAGACTCTGAGTGTTTTCGTTGTTGTCCAACTCATTTGATTTGAAATAATTTTCCTGAGGACTTTAACTGAAGAAGTGTTTTATTTTTAATATTGAAACTATTCCTTTTTATTTTATTTTTCATAATATACAGTGTTATATAGTACTTGCTATAAATAGAAGTACAATGATTATATTGCAATAGAATCTTCCACTTGTCTGTGGGTGATGCTGCAGTTTGTATCTATGAAATCAAACGCACTGGTCAGAGCTGATGTGATTATGGATTATGGGTTTCTGAGAGTCCTCGGCAATAGCCCACTTCGCCAAGTCTAGGACTCAGTGTCCCAGACACAGCCATGACAGAGGTGCCCTGAATTTTTCATAGCTAAGAGGGGCATCAGCCGGGCACGGTGGCCTACGCCTGTAATCCCAGCACTTTGGGAGGCCTAAGTGGGCAGATCACGAGGTCAGGAGATTGAGACCAACCTGGCTAACACGGTGAAACCCATCTCTACTAAAAATACAAAAATTAGCCAGGCGTGGTGGCGGGCACCTGTAGTCTCAGCTACTCGAGAGACTGAGGAAGGAGAATGTCATGAACCCGGGAGGCGGAGCTTGCAGTGAGCTGAGATCGCGCCACTGCACTCCAGCATGGGTGACAGAGCGAGACTCCGTCTCAAAAAAAAAAAAAAAAAAAAAAAAAAATGGAGGGACATCATAGTCCTTCCAAACTCACTGATCAGAAATTGTGGTGGTACAGACACCAAATTTCTTTCCTCAGAGAATGATGGTTACTGGCGGGGAGTTGCTCTGGACCCACTTTTTCTTGTGTCCTCATCAAATCGCTCCTTGCTCGGGTGCACTGTGTCTCCTGGGACTAAGTAAGGCAAGGGCACAGATGGGAATTCCTTGTCTTCCTAGACCTCCTCTCTAACTGTTCTCACTTTCCTCCATGTGACTCCTGAGACACCTGGTCCTAACAGTGGACAAGCTCTGACACTAAGGCTGAAGAGAACACAGTCCACAGTTGTAAACGGTGCTGCAAGAACATGTAAGAAAAGTGAGCAGGGCTTCCAATTTATACTGAGAATGAACATGCAAAAGGAGCAAAGGGCAGACGTTACTAACGAACAAATAGGAAGGAATAGGGGTTTCTGTTCTAACGAAATCATTCTGTTAAGTTAAGCAGGAGAAACATTTCATTGCAATTACTTCAAGTCAAAGGCTAGTGGCTCCCCAACCAACCAGCATAGCTCTTTGCTCTGTGGTCTCAGCAGCTTCAGAGGACTCAGAAATCCCTTTTCTGCACAAATGTCCCTTTGTCCATTCCAAGACCCAGGATCTCACACTCTGATCCTATCATGAAAATAATCGGGTGTGCTATAGTTGCTGTGGCCTCATTTTTAGTGTGTTGAGTAGGAAGCATTGAAGAACTTTGAAAGCTTTGCTCTTGAGTCTAGGGATGTGCTGGAGGCAACTTGTGTGACTCAGAAGAACCAAATAGGCATACTCTTCCCAGCTCCCCATTCAGTGAAGCCGTGTTGGCCGCTTGAAATCTGCCATGGTGGGGATGCTGGTACAACAGAAATTAGCAAATGCTACCAGCCATGCCCCCACCTTCACAGACACCCAGTTTAGCAGCACATCACTGGAGTATTTTCTGATGTCCCTGTTATGCCATGTCTTGTGGGGACAAAAGGGCTCAGAATTTATCTCCCCTCTACTCTTGTTCTTAGAAGCCATCATCTAAGGGGACCTTGATTATTCCTATTTCTATTCAACTCCCAAATTCTCTTGCTCTGTAGCTCTGTTTTTGCTACAAGCATGCGAATCTAGAACATGACAACCATTTTGAATGTCCCTAAAGGTATCCCTGAACCAGTTCATTATTTACAAATTATCTTTCCTCACATAGAATATTCAGATGCTGGAGTCATTGGGAACACAGATGGCCAAGCAGCAACTCTAGGTTGTGAACCACGTATAGCCCCGCTATTCTTCTGTGTCACCAACAGACCCTGAAACAAGGACTTTTTTGCTTTGGAAACTAAGCAGCTCCACCCCAGTCAGGAATGACTCTGCTTTTACTTTAGGCTGAGAGGTCAGCCTAAAGTATTCTCCTTTCATCCCACATATTATCCTCTCCAAGACTGAGTATGGCCACTCTCCATCTGAGTCCCTGGAAGTTGTCCAGAGCTCCCTGAGAATCCCTGCTCTGGGGGCAGAGTCACCAAGGTTCATCCTCGCCAGCTCCCCACAGACTCCAGCAGGGCTTTCCTGCCAGGTGCAGGGCACAGGGATGGCTCTGCCTGTCTCTTAGTTAGAAGGAGGCTGTACAATAATGTTTGTATAAGAGGGACTGGAATTCTGGGTCTCTTTTAAAGTATTTGACAAAATTTTCTTTGTTTTCTGTTTTTTTTTTTTTTTTTTTTTTTTTTTTTTTTTTTTTTTTTTTTTTTTTTGCCATCTCACCAATGAGGAGAGCAATCCCTTGGTAGTTATATTGTTTTTGGCACTTGGGAAGGTTTTTGTGGTTAAGTCACATTAAGAAATTGTGCCTTTTTTTCCTGTTTAGCTATAATCCAAGGCAGTGAAAGAAACAGCAATAATTTTGAGAGTAGTCACTTGTGCATCCTATGATAAAGGTGTTAGATTTCATTGCCCACATCTAACTTTCAGTCTAGTGGAAATGAAAAGGCACAGTTAGGGGGCATGTGAGCATGCCATGAGAGAGGTCGATACAATTGAGAAGTCTGTGCCAATCCCCAGTACTGTGGTATTGAAGGGGAGGGAGAGATGACCTCTCCTTCAGACCGTGCTGAACAAGGAGGGAGAGGGAGTTCACCCATGGGAAGCTGAGGAGGAGCAAATCCCAGGGGCATCTAACTCAGGGTGCAGGAACAAATCCTTGGAGAGGAAAATGGCCCAGTTCAGCTGTCACAGGAGACAGGAGAAAGAAAAGTCATGTAATCCACAGTCCCCAGGCTGATTTGCTTCCTTATGACACTATTTTGCACAAGCGTGTTCTCATCTCCCGCTGTTCCTCTGCCTTGGCCGGAATCATCTCTTCCCTGTTTGCTGCTCAGATCAGTGGATGCGCATTGTACAAGCTGATCATTTCCTGAAACAACCCCTTTGCTACTCTTAGCTATATCCATCCTTATTTTCTGCATTAGGTACTGCTCCCGCCACCATTGCTTGTTGCCTTGTAAGAGGTCTCATTTTATATATTTCAATTTTACTTTTTATTAATAGACATTTGACTTCACCTTTTGCTGATCTATACTGTTGGGGTAACATTGTCACTTTTGGAGGACGTTTTTGTTTAGTGATTCAGATTAAATAATCTCTTTGTGTTTCAGTGTACATGTTTTCTTACTATTTAAAACCAAATATTACTTCCTTTCGTTCCTCTCATTTTGTTCCTCTCTCTTTAGATGGTAGTTTTAAGGGAGAAAAAGTTAGACTATAACTGGAGCTATGTGATAAGAGTTATTCAGAATGAGGGTGGGATATTAAGATTGGTAACTGAAAGCAACAGTCAGGGTTAGAACTAATGTTGGAATTAGGGTTTAGGGAAGCTGCTCATAAAACGTGCGGAATGGCGCTTCTGGAATACTTTTCCAGCTCACTCTGCAGACACTTCCCAGCATTCCTTGGGCCACTGCAGAATAAACAATGATGAAACTTCACTTATTGGCCACAAGACGGCACTGTGGTCCACTGGGATCTGAAGGGCTCTGGGGATTCTGGGAGAGCAGCCTAGGAGGGAAAGGGTTAAGAAAAATTAGGGCTTGGATGCAATATTATGCAGATGTTGCAGCAGTTTTCCGTTATTGCCAGGCTACCTACAGCTGTGCAAGAGGCGTGAAGTCCCTCTAATCTTTAATGAGATCTACAGTTGAAGAATGTTGGCCAGGCAGCCTTGGTGTCGGGGCAGGTGCAGACAGAGGAGCAACTGCCTCAGAGGGAAAGGGACAAGTGAAGGGTGGGTTGTGCCCTGATCCCAGTGCATCTCTGCTGCACCTCATCCTCTCTGCAGGTCTCAGCAGGTGACACCTTTTACCTGTTGAGTGTTCTGGGATTCTACAACTTCATAAGTCTTACTGATAACATCACCTTGGCTGAGATTCCATTGGGCACAGAGCATGTGTTCTCTGGAGGACAAAAAATATTGATAACAATTTCTGAAACACCTAAGTAAACAAACTATTGAAGGAAAATGTTAGTAGATGCAGCAAACTGTGGCGTTAGACCTGAAGATAACAGACTAGTAGAATTATACAAAAGAGACTATACATAAGTCTGTACTAAGTACTTGTGGGCATAGAGCAGTGTTTGAGTCCTATCAGGGTAGATTAAGGAAGGAATTCAGCTATTATCATGACTTTTGCTTGGATGAAAATCCATGAACTCCTCAATGGATTTTCTTGTTAAATATTACAGAATAATATTGAGCAAACTTTTTATTTTTATCCAGCCTGTATCCCTCTTTAGCACTAACAGGTAAAGCTGACGCCTCTTTAGCACTAACAGGTAAAGCCAACGCCTCTTTAGCACTAACAGGTGAAGCTGAAAGCAAGGTTTCTTTAGTTTGGATCCATTAACTACAGGACTGTGAGGTCCACAGCTGGGCTTTACAGGGAGTGCAAACCGCATGTGCAGGGAAGCCCATGTGTCTGTGCTGTGCCCAACTCCCCTCTGTGAGGCTGCCAAAGGGGGAGGCCCAGGTCACCCAGGACCCCACTCACAAAGAGGAGAGTAAGCTTCTTGCTTGGCAAAAAAATCAATTCAAAAATTGGCCAATCTGTTCAAAGCAAAAATGAAAGGAAAGTCTCAATTGTGAGACTGATGAATGCCCAATTTTCCAAGTTATGAAATTTGTAGCAGCTCATGGTTCTCAGAATGATTTCAACAGCATATGAAGATTTTTTTTAAAGTTTTTGTTTGTCTACAGCTTTCCTTGATTTTGGTCCTAGTTGTTTTTCAGCCCACTCAGCAGTTGAGCTTATTTTGATGCCAAATTTCAATGTTGCCACTTCAGTCACCAAGCACTATTCACATTC